TCTAAAAAGTAAAGCCACCTGTTGTCGCTAATGCTCCTATTTTAACTACATTTTTTATTTAATTATTTTAAGCTTCCCGCCACGAAGTTTGTTTGACAACTGACGCATCAATATTTACAATAAATAATCTTTATTTTGTTTAATGAGTTATCAATGGCTGCCTGATCCAAGTGAATCTTATCAGGTAGCAATGTAGTAATCCTTAAGTTTGTTAGTCTTCCATTTACTAAAACTGCAATAGAGAATTGGATTACAAATCTGTCTTCTAGATAACCTACATACGTTTTAATGCTTAGATGGTTGGCTACAAATGGATGTAGCAATTTTCACTTTTTTCTGTTCTGGCAAGGAATGAGCCACAAATGGTTTATCAATTTTCATTTGCGGTCTCTTACTAGACTTGATTTGCTATTTAGGTCTTACTTCCCTTAATTTTTATACAATAAGCATGGTTTCCTAATGAGTACGAATTCCTTACATATAACTGCACTCTCCATTGACGGTGAAAAATTCTAAATAATCATTATTCTTTCATAAATATCTTTATCAAATATCATACTTTTAAATTGTGTTTTGGTATTATTCCTTTCATAGTTACTGAGTCCCTCTCATTCAATTCACTTAAAATCAACCAAGATGAGGTTAATTGCAACCAGTTTTTAAAAGATCTTTCACAATTACTAATCTAAAAGATTGAATTATTTCTTACGGTGGAAAATAATTACTTTCCTGTGAATACCAATCTGCCTTAACAGCATAAAATAAGTTCTACAAATGTTAGTACTTTTTGCCTGTTAATTTCGTACTCCAAGTTTCAGCTAAACCTATAACGCTAGATTCATTCAACGTCGTTTGAAAATTAAATGTATTGGGACACCCTAAATCAAATGTATTTCTAAAAAAAACTTAGTTCAATGTTTGGTGTGTAGTAGATACTAAGTTATTTTTGATTCTGATATATCAAATAGCCATTTCTTTTAACTTCGAAACAATAAGGAAAAAGTTCAGCTGCTTTACGTACACGTGATTCTTGAGAGGTCAGATCGTATTTGCATTTTCGGTTGATCGATTGATTTTCGTTTTTAAGCAAATGAAACGTTGATAAAGCTTGAATTTTTCGATTTACATTCTAATTACAATATTATAGGTTCGGATTTTTAATGATTTGAACTTTAATAATTTCTTCATCTATCAAGTCCGTAATTTTGAGTTTTTTTATATATCTAGTATATAAATTAAATCAGACAACCTCTCTCTAATTTGATATCTGTTAAAGGAAAATTATAAATCATTGGTCATAATATTTTTTATGAGTTGCAATTAGTTATGTGACGGATCGTTAATAATGTATATCCGCGGATATGGATACAGGTACGGATCATTAGTGTCTAGATCCGCGAATACGGATATGGATCTCAACTTTCGCACTCAGTGGCGCCGGTGCATGTGACCTTGGATTGATAGTTGACGCTTTGCGTTAACTATCAATCCAAGTAACCATCAATCCACTAACAATCAATCTTAGTAACGTGACGTGGTTTGAGTTGCACTGCGCATGTTTTTGTTTATAACTTAGTGCAGGAGCAGCCAACAGTTTTTGTTCCCGGGCCGAATTGGAAAGAAAACTTTTTCCACAGGCCGAACCAGAGGCTGCCCTAGAAAGATTTTGAGGTGGTGCGAGATCTCATTATGGTGTCACCCCGTAGTGACTAAATTGTACACAGAGATTACAGATACATTTTTCACATTATCATGCTTTATCAACATTCTACTCTGTACTAGAGATTTGTAATGGAGGGTTAACTCTAAACGCACAGTGATTTTCTTTTTTAGGCGTCAGAATTTTTCATCGAGCTATTCGGACTTCAGTAGCTAATATTGAAAGATTGATCGTGGGCCACATAAATTCATTAGACGGACCGGATCTAGCCCGCGGGTCGTATGCTGGCCATGCCTGGTTTAGTGTGACACGGGATAGCGTAGATTACGTTTGTATTTTTGAAGAGTGTTGAGTTAAATTAAAATAAAAACAATGTCCACAAAAAAGTTTAGTAGTGTAATATGGAAATATTTTACGATAGTAAATGAATTTTGCATGATAAAATTTTCGCAATATGAATGTGCCAAATATGTGGTTTTAAGAAATAAAAAGTGATTTGAATTGAAGTTATTAGTATTTTACTGCTACCTATTTTTAAAATTTCATATAAGTAATGAAATTCATTAAGATAAAAGATCCGTTAAAAATCCGCTAAAAAGTAACGGATACGGATACGGATCTTTTTTTTTCCTCGGATATCCGCGGATACGGATACGGATACGGATATCCGGCACATCACTAGTTGCAATGGGAAGTTCCAATTTCCTTTTTAAATCTGCAGAATTTCCATTTTCCACAACGATAACCTTTTTTCCAATAATTAAAATTAATTCTTAATATCTCTCAATTCTTGGTGTTAAATACCAATAAGAATTCTTACTTCCTCATATTCCTTTACTGATTAAAATAATAGAAACATGTGAATTCTAAATTAGTTTTATCATTTTTTTGTAAAATTTCTGTTAGCATATTGGCTCTATTCTCTAAGAAACGCTTACGTTTCCAAAATACTATCAATTCTTCCTTTACAATATCTTCAAAAGATAAGTTTATTCCATCATTTAGACTAAGTTTAGCTTTTGTTTGAAACATCGAATCCAAATTTTCGGACTTCGACACGCCTCGTTAACAGTGGACGAGACATAGGACCAGGATTCGACTCAATATCAGTCATTAATAATAAAAATATTATTATTAAATAAATATAACACCGAGCAAAATTTTAATATCTAATTTCATCAAAGACAAACAACAAAATCAAAGATAATTAATAAGGGCGTCTTCGATTTCGCTTAGCACTTTCGACTGCAGAGTGCCCCAAAATCAATATAATATTTTTATTATATTGATTTTGATGAAAATGAATTTCATTAAAATTAGAATTATTTTAATTGGTAAGTAATATATGAATTCTGAATTAGATTTTAATTAGATTGAATAGTTTTGCTTGTTGATGTATTACTGTAGTCTATTATTAGAATTCATCAATTTGAAAACTCTAAATAAATAACGCAAATCAATAAAATACTTTTAACTTTTAAATCAAAACTTCTATATTTTATATGAAAACTAGAATTTTACAGTTTTGAACTTTTTAAATTAGGCTATACCTTTGTAAAATGTATTTTAAATCATATATGAAATGTTATTTGGTAAATTATAATTTACAAATGAAAATTAAATTTATTTTATTTATTTATTTATTTATTGTTTACATTTATAATTTGTATTAAACTTTTACCAGGATTTAGTACAGTTCTCTAATTTTTCCATAATTCTATTTGGGTGACCAACTGACTTATGTTATTAGAAATTGTATACTCTGATGGCCACATAAGTGCGATTTTACTGTATTTTCTATTTGAAATTATAAATATTATCGAGAATAATGCAGTTTTATGCAAAATTCCAGTAAAAAAAGGAATACGAATTTATTAAAATTTAAAAACTATTAAAAGATATAGCAATCTTTGAAACTGTTTTATAGGCTTTTACTATTGCAAATTAACATAGAATTATAAATTTTATTTTTGACATTTACACAGTTATTTATAAAACAATAGATAATTATAAATAATTTTAAAAATCATAATATCAATATTTTATGCTGCATTGTCCTAAAGCTCTAATATCATTTTATAATGTTAATACGAAGTTTTAACAAACTTGATATAATAAATAGATTTAAATTTTACAATTTAAATCTATTAAATTATGCTTAATTTTTATGATTACAGTAAAAAATGAACTGAACTTTTTGAACAGGTTTTATTATACTACACTATCTTCAAAGTAAGCTCCTTGCACAGTACAAGATACACATTTCTGCCACTGTCTATAGTATTTGTCAAAGTAGTCCTGGAAGCAATGTTTTTATGATGTCTTTAAGAACTTTGAGAAAGTTTTATCTTACTTAGTCAGATATCTGTTTACCGTAACAATGCGCACGCACATCAGTCGTTCCTGCTCAACGAATATCTGACCAAGAAGAACATAAGAGAATTTTTCCAACCTCCTTATTTTTCTGATCTTGTCCGCGCAGACTTTCATCCACTCTTTAAAATGAAAAGTTACAGGTTCCATTTAACAACATGGATGGAAGCTGCAGCAAATAAAGCCGTCAAACACATTACAAAACATGGTTTCTAGAGCTACTTTGATAAGTGGTAGGGTCCAGTGGCGACCTTAGGGGGTGGCGAGCAGGGCAATCGCCCGGGGCCTCGCTCTTGGAGGGGCCTCGCGCAACAACCAAGTAAAAAAAAGTTGATATTTAAAACTTTTTATTTTATCCTTGGCTATTAGTTATAACAATAAAATAAATTTAATTTATAGTACAGTATATATTAATATTAATAAGTGCCTACTATTTCAATTCACATACTTTGCACAAAGGACAAGGGCCTCGCAAAGATCTGCCGCCCAGAGCCTCGCAATGGATAAGGCCGCCGCTGGTAGGGTCTCTAACAGAAGTGTGTAGCTGCAGAAGGAACTAACTTAAAATGTGGTGTGATGTAAAAATTTCTGTGTTGTAAAGTAAAACATATGCAAAAGTTTAGTTCATTCTTAATTTTACTTCATACGATTTTTTTCTTTTTATTTGTAAGAAACTGTAGTACTTTCTAAAATTTTACTTCTACTTCAGAAATTTTTAAAAACTTGACATTGTATATTTCGAAATTATTTCGGGGTCTCTAGAATTCGAATTAACGCGAGTTCACTATACACATAAAACACTGTAATAGCATTATGTTACTTCGGATAATTTATTTTCTTCATATACTAATTATCCAAATACTTAAAGAAAAGATCCGTCTACCGCGTGCACGGCCTTGTTAAAGATGATGTCATGATAAATATTGCCTAGATAGCTTTATTAATAGAATGTAATTTATATTTTTAGTGAAGAAAATATTCTTGAATTATATAAAGAACTTCAAAAATCAGACAAGCCTCATCTGATATCTCAGTTTGAAACCGTCATGGCTGATCTGATGGAGAATGTAAATCGTTTGCAAGAAGAAAAGCATCAATTGGAACATTTTTGGAAACGGTAATAAATGTCATGGTGTTTTAAAGTATTTTTTTATTTTAAGTTTTGTTTAAGAATGATTCTATTTTAACAGATAGTAAATAACGCTTATAAAACATTTCAGGAATATTAGTCTATACATTACATTGTAGATACAAGATACGAGTTTGCATAATTAAATAAAATTTTTAATAAATTCTCTATTTATTTTGATAGAATTTAATAGAAATTAAATTTATCATTTAATGTGCTTTAAATATTTTTATTATAGTGAAAGAAAAGAACAAGAGTTGTATTTACACAAAATGGAAGAAGAGATGACGAATCAAGTGAAAGATTTAGAGTTGAAAGTAAAACGAGAGGTAGAATTAATTTGAAAGTTAAATATTATTAAAATGTATTGTAAATATTTAATTATATTCTGTAAATTATAATTATGTCACAAGATCGATTTTAATAAAATTATATTAATTTGAATTAAATTTTATAAATTCTAACTTATACTCGTATATTAAATTAAAACTTTATTAATAATAGTAAAATATCAATACCTTTAGTAAATTTATAATAACTATAAATTTACGTATTGGATTATATAGGCACAAGAAGAAGTTGAGACGGAAAGAAAGAATTTGAAAATAAAAATGGACGCCGAAATGGATGAATTACAGGCTCATTTATCTTTATTTGAAAAAGTAAACTTTTCAATATAATTATTTTGTTGGATAAATTAACAAAATTTTTAAATTAAATATTTAAATTCAGGTCAATTCGTGGCTCCAGTCGTGTGGTCAACATCATTTTCAAGACGAAAAAGCAAACGAAGTAAGGAATAAATTAGAAGAGGCTTTACACGAAAATCATCAATTGAGGATGAATTTGATAGATACTCAAACTAATGTGGCTTTGATGAGAAGTGAAATGGCTCAGTTGAGAAATCAGTACGAAGAAAAGTGCCGAGAACTTAACAGGTAAGTTAAATATATATGTTTTACAATTTAATCTGTATACAATAATTAATTTTTTTTTTAACTTTTCAGCGAGAAGGAACGAATTATGGAAGTTTTGCATGAACATAGCGTACTTGGCAGGCAGATTCACTATCTTCAGTACGCAAAATTCCTCGATTATACACCGTACAAATATTTAAATCTGAATTTTATTTTAATAGATGTCGTATTTATTCTAATAAATAGCGCACTGTCTATTAATTTTTTCAGCTTGCAACTGTGCTGTTTATTAGAGGGTGCTTATTATTAGAATAAATACGGTGTATATATATACCGTATATATATATATATATTTAATTTTATTTCAGTGATGCTAATAGAAAATTAAATGATACCAACGATACATTGAGAGAAGCCATGCAGAAATCACCTGTTGATAATGCAAGTGACAAAATAGTTTATTTACATTTATAATAATTATAATATACTGACCTAAATTTAAAACTTTTAAGCGTGTTTTAATATAATGCAATGTTGTTAAAATTAGTTTTCACGAATTTTTCCACGTTCTGAACATAGAGGATCGATTATAGGAGATTATTTATATAACGATATTCTTCCTGAGAGAAGAAAAAGGTGATTTTTAAATCAATAATATTTCATAAGCAATGTTTTATACAATGTTAGAGATTTTTTTAAATTATATTTTTATATGGATAATCCACGGTTTATTCGAGTTATCTACTGATTTTGCAATTTGAAATTTATTATGAAATACGTAAACAGTTTTTCCTTTTCCAAAGTCACGAAAACGTCGAAACCACTTACACACACGCATACATAGGTATACGTATTGTGCGCCTTTAATCATCTCCCGTTCGTTTGTGTGTTAATCCACGCCTTAATTGGTGTTGTTAGACACTCCAATTTGTTTTTCATCGAATCTTTTTTAGAAATTTCTCAGAATGATGCCGAAAAAAGTAATAGGCCTACTCGTTTGGAAGCTTCGTCATTACAAAAAATGACAATCTGAAACCGCATTCATCAGTTTCGTGTTACTGTATTCAACAGTTTAATTCAACATTTTTACAGAAGATTGATTTAAATTTGCTTTCTGATTATGATATGTTGAAATCATTGATAACATTTTCAAATTTGAAAGCATAAAGAATGGGACAAAGAGTATGGCTGCATTTGTAACACAGGAATATTATGACGAACAAAAGCGTCAAATTATCCACAAATTTTCCGATAGAAGTGTTGGAAGCGATGAATTAAGTATTTTAGATAAGTTGAGAATGGAGCAGTTCTGCATACGGTCGAAATATTTTAATTTTCCACATAATTAAACGACGTTGTTCTCGCTGCAAAAATATTGTTCAAAATCTAATTAAAGTCCATCCTAAAGATCTAGAAGTGATTTTAAGTGGCGAAATGGGACCATTTAATTATTTATTTGGTCCTGTTGTCCCTTACCTCTAATGATCTTTAGCTAACTCTGATTTCTGATAATCCCTCCTTTCTATGTAATGACTCTCCATAGAACTATTTGGAAGATGAATTTTTTATACACTAGTTCTTTACAACAGATAGAAGCTAAGCAGTTAATTTTCAAATCGCAGAATATTATCTTATCGATTTAAAAATGTTTCTACGTATTTCATTTTTCCGTTTCTTCCGTTTACTTGTTTTATAAGTACTTTGCATTTATAACGAACTGCTAATGGAAATGAAATGGAAGAAACGTGGGGTAATGAATTTAACACAGTAGGTCTATCTCAGGGGTGGCCAACAGTTTTTGCCCCCGGGCCGAATTGGAAAGAAAACTTTTTTCACGGGCCGAACCAGAGGCTGCTCTAGGAAGATTTTGAGGTGTGCGAGATCTCATTGTGGTGTCACCCCGTGAGACAAAATTGTACATAGAGATTACAAAAACGTTTTTCTCATTATCATGCATTATCAACATCCTACGCTGTGCTTAAGTTTTAAGAGATTTGTAATGGAGAGTGAACGCATAGTGAGTTGTTGACCTTTTTTTTTAGGCGTCAGAATTTTTCATCGAGCTATTCGAACTTGAGTAGCTTATATTGAAAGATTAATCGCGGGCCGCATAAATTCATTAGACGGCCCGCGGGCCGTATGTTGGCCATGCCTGGTCTATCTTCTAAACTTTATATCGGTAAGTGCCATATTTTCAACGCCACTTCGGTGGCATGGAGTGTTTGAAGATTTTATTTCAGTTCTAGCAATTTATTAAACTTGTGGGTTATACGCCACTTCTGGTTATCCATATGAAAATATGGTAATTTAATTTAATATACATTCGGTTTTCTAATTATAACTGTAAGTAAATAATGTTTTCCTTGTTTCTTTTCCAAGAACATGCTCGGAAGATGTGGAATTTGAACATCATCCCGAACTAAATGTCACCGAAAGGATCAAAGATGATTTAGGTATTGTACAAATCAAACTTAATTTTATTCGATTAAAATTATTATTTATAAATTTTTACTTATAACTGAAACTTCATTTAAACTATTTAATTTCTGATAAATTGAGGTGCTGAATAGAAAAACGGGCTCACATACATTAGGAAGTTTTCGAGAAAATAGAGGATTTGTGTTTCAATTCACTATCATTTTAATGTGCAACGTTTTATCAATATGGATGTAGCCTACTATACAACCTGTATAGTAATGGCATGTAACTGAACGGTGAAAGTTTCTTAGATGGATTGATGATGCACAAATCCAAATTTATTAGACTAATTTTTTTTATTTTTTTTGTAGTTTTGTGGGATATGCTGTTTTTCTGCTCAATTTATCTAAGTAACAACCATTTTCAAATAATCAGATTTTATTTGGGTTTGAGAATGATTAATTTCTGTAATCGAATTTCATTGAACAAAAATTATTTCACCCACCATCTTAACACCAGAAAAAACGTGTACTTCTCGTCCGCACTCTTAATCTTCGTGAATAGTATAACAAATAATTTATTAAAACAGTAAGAACCTTCCTTTACGGATACAGATTATATCTTTTCTCACATTTCGCAGATTATGTTGTAACCATAGAGATCGAGCCTATACAGAATAACAATGCAAAAGCGATGGTTCGGTTTTCGGTGGATAAATTCAAAGTAAAATACTTTAGCAATTGTTTCTGGAGATAAATATAAAATATAAAAGTTTTTATGTGACTCGTAATTGCTGCTAATGGATTAGAAAGAAGTCTTTAAAATACTTTAAGGATTATCCACAGAAAAAAATAACAAAATTCTAAGTGTTCCTCTCTCTTTTCCAAATTTTAAAACTTTTCTATAATACGTAAATTAATCTCAATGTAACTGACGAACTAGTTTTATTGCTTAGAATTTGTAATTAAAAAAAAAATTAACCAAATTTGTAATTAAAAAATTTAAACATTTTACATCTTAATTACAAAATTTCATAGAAATCTCATTGAAATATTGTATTAAGTTATATATTAAAAGATTTAAGTTAATTTCTATCTAAAATCATATTCCAAATAGAACTGCCTTAAGATAGGGAAATAAAAAATTAAGCCCAGTTAAATTTATATTATATATTTATTTAATAATAAGAATATTTTTATTATGAATAAATATTTTCAATTACTCTTTGTTATTATTAATATATTAATAATAAACGATGAATCAATGCATTTAATTGTAACATATTTTTAAATGTTTAAAAGTGTTTATTATAAACTTTGGAAAATATCAAAATTTATTAATTAAAATTCAAAACTGCTTCAATTTAATAGTATAACTATAGAAATAAGAACATTTTGTGTGCCGACTTTTACATAAATTTCAAAAATTGTTAAAAATATAGTTTTAAAAGTAGTTTTGACATAGGCTAAACATATTTTTATTTATTTCGTAATTTTTTATTAATAACCACTTTATTATTTAAGAAATTATAAAAATCGTAACATAATTTTAAAAATTTGATGCACTCTTCTGTCCTATTATGCAATATTACATAACGAGGTTGGAGAAAGAACAGTGCTTTTAATTAATGAATATTTATAAGTATTTTTTTCCTGTTTTAAATTGCATTTTAAATTAATAATTCCGACAGACAGTGGATTTTCCACGCTTCGAGATTTTTCCGAAGAACAGGAAGAAGGAATAAACCATAATTCTATGATAATAAATCAATTGCAACATTCACCGTTGACTAGAACAGAAACATTACCAACATCGGAAAAAATAGTTCATTGTGATGTACGAAGAATAAAAGTAAGATATAAAGTTCAAAATTATTATTTTTAATAAAGTTTTTCAGTAATTGCAATATCCGTGAATAAGTTATATTATCTTATAATTCAGTCATTGTAATGAGGGGGAAAATATATGTATGTTTTTGCTTTATTTTATTCCATTTAATTCTTTATTTTTATTTGAGCTTTTCCTGTGGCATGTAGATTTCTGTATTCCATAGATTTTTATATAGAAAACAGAAAATAAATCCTATATTTTATTAAAAATATGAAATTATATCGTTATCGTATTTTATCGATTTAGTTTTGCATAACAGGTATGTACATACACATGCCTACATACATCATACACACACCTATATTCTTTTTATTTTACTACAGACAAATTATTAATTTCTGGAGACAATAAAAATCTAGATACTGTACAACTTTACCGTATTTCGGTAGAAAATGAAATGGCCTACCTATAAATTTCGTTATATAATTATTTCGACGATATAAATTAGTTATTCAACATTAAGAAAATATGTAAGAAATATTAATATAATATTAATATAGTTATATAATATTAGTAATATAGTCATATAATATTAATATAGTTAGATATTTAAGTAAATAAATAATATAGCCTATAAATATCATATCTTAAATTATATTGGAAGAACTTAAAACTTTCCAGTCATCGCATTAAAATATTACTAAATTTTTCATTTAAAATTATTATAAATGAAATCTAATTCTCCTTAATATCTTTGTACATTTATCTCGCATTAGTAGCATCTCGAATAATATGAATGGCATGTAAAACATTTTTAAATGAATAATCACAATGACGTGTTTAATTCGTGTGTTTATTTTATTATATTGTGTCATAATGTATGATTCGCAACAAAATAATATAAATAGGCTTAAATGATTATATTTTGAATGTAAGCCCATGTTAAGTTTGTATAGTTTATCTTCTTTCAGTGAAAGTTTCAATTGTTTTTGTTTTTAGAGTTTGACAGATAACGAATCATTACATTCAAGTCCATCATCCGAATGCAAATCAGAAGAAAATTTTCCTAGGCGTAAAATTGCAGACATTAAACGCCAATTAGGTTTAGATCCAAATAAAGCTGGGTAAATTATCTGAAAAATATTAAAATAGACAATAATTTAAATATTACAATTATGATAATTTATGTTATATATTTTTCAATAATTAAGGAGACCGAGAAGTCTAACTCCTTCTCCCGTTCCTTTACCAAGATCAACGTTGCAAACAACAAATAAAAAATTACGATCTTCATCGATGTCTTTGTATAATAAAAAGGAGACGGAGGAGGAAGTTTTAAATGATAAAACATCTATGCAAAAAGTCGCCGATGTAATTACAGACAGCGAAATAAAAAATTCCTACGAAGCAACGGGTCCTCCAGAAAGAACTTATAAAATTGTTTTCATTGGTGATGCTGCTGTTGGAAAGTCTTCCTTTATTTTAAGATTAAGTAAAGGAATGTTCGTAGCGCATCTTAATTCTACTTTAGGTAAATTTATTTATAAATTATTATATTCAATTTTGGCTTAAACAAACAAGAATACATTTGAGTGTTACATGCTTGAATTTAAATTTTATCTATTAAATATGTTATGTGAAATAGTGAATGTATTACGTGAAATAAATTAAAAATAATCTTGAAGATAAAAATCTGAATAGTTTTGGTAGCTTAATAACTTGAAAAACTTAAAAACACGAATTAGTTCAAAACGACTAAGCATAGGCCTATTTAGAAATAACTATATATAAGAAATAAAAAAGTTGTTATTCGAATTTTAGGTGTAGATTTTCAAGTGAAGACATTGAAAATTGATGATAAAAATATTGCATTACAACTTTGGGATACCGCTGGTCAAGAACGGTAATTTGTTTCGCAAATTATAAATAAAGTTATGATGTTTATATTTCGGTAGTTATTATACAGTATTAACATTTATTTAGCGAGAAGTAACACTTTGTTTTGTTACTTCTCGCTATTTAATTATTTTTTTCATCAAAATTCACTTTTTTAAATAAAATTTATTGATGATAATTCTCTATGCATTATAGGTTTAGAAGTATAACCCAATCTTATTTTCGGAAAACAGATGGCGTCATGCTGTTATACGACTGTACTAATGAATCGTCTTTCCTCAATGTTCGTCAATGGATGGAAGCCATTGATGTATGAATTGCTAATTTCTAATATAATAAATGTTTAGTTTTATTAAGTTCGATTTGTTTTTAACTATATTTTAGAATATTGTAAACAGCGAAATAAAAAATACCTACTAAGCAACGGATCCTCCAGAAAGAACTTATAAAATGTAAACATTTTTTAATGAACAATAACAATGAAGTGACCACTTTATTTTTTTATTATTTTTTTTAAATATGTATGATTTAAATTAAATCCACTCTGAAATGATACAGTCGAACCTCCGATAACAGCCACCTCTAAACAGTAGGTATTGTTTTTTAGAAGTCCCCCTTTTTTAAACAAAAATATATACAAAATAACCTTCAAACAAGACCCATCATGTTTCTGCCAGTGGCCGTTGTTCAAAAGTTTGGTTGTATTTAGTTTTCTGTATATTTTTATATAACTTTAAAGTAGTAAAATTTATTTTTGTCTTTTGGCATATGAAACTTAACGTTCATATAAATTAGAACGATAGTGTTAATTAAGCCCATTATATTGTTTTATGCAGCTATATCACCTAAATAGAATTAAGCAAACAGTTAACACACACAAAATATACGCCACGTAAAATTAAAAGAATATAACTTGTAATGTATCTATCGTTTTATTTTACTTGAAACAAATTTAATTTTTCGTATGTATAAACTTTTATATTTAATTAAAATTCTATTCATAAAGGGAGGTTGATACTACTCATTCTGTTGTAGGTATCCTGTTTCTACAGAATGATGGCCAAACAAACGAGTGATTCCCATATGGTAATTCATGTTTCTCTTTAGAAGTTAATTGTACAAATAAATTGTTTGAAATAGAAAATACGAATAAGCCTGCTAAACATTATACATACACACGTAAACGAAGTTTCATATGCTAATTAAGCGTGTAATTGTTTTAAAATATTTTGTACATATAAATCGCTTCCGTAAAACACTATTCGAGAGATCGTATCAAAAACTGATGTGACAATTACTTTGATAAAATTTTGATTAGCTATTTTCCTAAATAAAATTACACCAAACATTACTATATTAGAAATGTTTTCTTTTAGAATAATGTTATATTTTTTGTTAGCATTATTAACAAATTTAAACTAACAAACGCAATTATTTCTAACACTATTTTTTATTAATTTATTTAGATTTAAAAAGTTTTATTACTTATTTATACGAATTATTTTTGCTGTTTCTTCCCAAAGTCGATTTCTTTCTTAAAAGCAGATATGAAAAAGTATATAATATAGTCGAAATTGTACATTTACATGTTTCCTTTTTAGATATATAAATCGACAAATGACATGGTGATCTCATTTTTCCTATGTTCTTCCTACGACCCTCCAATATTTGCACAATGCTATATAGAAATAAAACATTGTTTTTTTTTATATTTAACTTTTCGGTAAAAAATATTATAATTTTGCTTAATCATTATAATAATTGAGGTTCGTGTACAGTATTTCATATGCCAAAAGATAAATCGGATTATTAATAAAACTAGATGTTACATCGATATTTTCATCTATAATAACGATACTTAAAAAATCTATATATAATGTTATAGTAAAGTCTACAATTCATAAGCTTTCATTCTGTTCTGTTTTCGTCGTTAGAGAATTGCAGAATATACTGCTGCATTAAATCATGTGTCTTTTATATAAAAAACAATAAGTAATGTTTTATGCTTTAATATTTATCAATAAATATTTCTTAAATTTCAAATTTATTAATTCTGATTGTACATTTATTAACATTACATTATTCATTAATTAAACTTTTTAATTTCAGGATGCAACATCTCAAAAAATACCTGTAATGATTGTAGCTAATAAAACTGATCTTAGAGATTTACATCTTTTGCAAGGAAACGAATGTGTTCCTTACGAAAGTGGTGAAAAATTAGCAAAGGTTAGAAATAATTTAATTTTTTTAAATTGATTAAATTAACCTTTAATTTAATTAAAGTAAAATTCAAATTTTGAATACTCGGAAGGATTTTGGAGCGATGTTTATGGAAGCGAGTGCTAAATCTGGAAGCAATGTATTTGAAGCCATCGCAGAACTTGCTAGGTATAATAATATTGCGTGTTATTCTTTTATTATTATACTTGTTTATGTTTAAATAATACAACCATTTAATCATATAATAGTAATAACTTATTTTTTAATATTAAATATATACCGTATGTAAATAAATATAACTTACTCTATTACATTACAGTATAGTAAATTGTAATTTGTATAATTGTTTCTATTTAAAAATTTTTTTAAAATATAGCATAATTTACTTTTTAATCTATAAAATCTTGGTATTTTTATAAATTATTTATTTATTTATATTGAAAATATTAAATAATTTAACCAGACATAGCTAAATAATTATTGTATTGAATATAAGTTGTGATTAAATTAAATGTATACATAAACATACACACGTATATATATACAGTATATTTAAATGTAAAAATATTAACCCATATTTATTTTTTAGTTTATAAATTTATTTTTTATAATTACTACTAATCATTTTTTTATTAATAAAAAATATCTAAAGCATTTTCAACGAATTCGTATTAGGCCTATTATTCAGTGTTCTAAATTAAAAATTTCTCAGAATTCATTTTATCTCTTTCATCTGTCATATATGAAAATATGTCGACCCGGTGACATAACAAAATCAGGATTCAGATGTAGGTTTCTATTGTTAAGTTTAACTTCTGTCCCTTTTTTATTTAGTTTCTGTCATTCAAAATGAATGAAAAGCATTGTGTGAGTTATTAATATCTGGCTCAAATGTATCTGATACAATGGGGATAACTTTGTAATTCGGCCGTCGTCACACTTCTTTCCTAAATTGTATTCTATTATTTTAAAAANTCTGTCCCTTTTTTATTTAGTTTCTGTCATTCAAAATGAATGAAAAGCATTGTGTGAGTTATTAATATCTGGCTCAAATGTATCTGATACAATGGGGATAACTTTGTAATTCGGCCGTCGTCACACTTCTTTCCTAAATTGTATTCTATTATTTTAAAAATTAAGATATATTTTGGACAGAGAATGAATTTAACATTGAAAATCTGGCATAACCAACTTCTATTTATAATAAATTTTTTAATAGATTATAATTAATAGCCTTAAAAAGTTAATTGAATTTATGTAAATTAAAAACAGAATTTATAATGCGAATAAATATAAAACAAACTATTTTAATTAAAATAAAAATAATTAACGATGTTTAATCTTTTATAAAATTTTGACTATTTTATTGTCGTTAAAGTTTCGAATTGCTAATTTAGGTAGAATTCTTTATTTATATAAGAAAAATAAAATCAAGTGTATTCTTTAATACCTAAATATACGATACTGACAGATATTATTAATGAAAATATTACGATAATTATTTATTATAGGTCAATGGCTATCAATGAAGATCTTCAACTTAAGTCTTCTGGTAGTATTTTATTGAAAGAAGGAAACAAAAAAAGTGGAAAATGTTGTAAAAAATAATTATATACATTTTGGAATATGGATTTTCTTTATTAAATCATTCGTCGTTTTTATTATTTACTGTTATCGAATAGAAATAATTAATAAAGTTTGTTTTTTAATTTCTGGTTTGCGATTATTAAAAGACGACTACGACTCAATTTGAAGGGAGTATCTTAAACACGTTTGAAAAATTGTTTATTCTTTTCGTATATACCTTTAAAGAAACTCGAAAAAATCATTGCCACTTCTTATTAAATAGCATTAACAATAATTTTAAATGATTCTTATATTGAGTAATTATAGAAAAGAAATGAAAAGAAAAAGTAATCAAAAATACGATTCAACTTACGAGGGCTGTTCGGAAAGTTCGCGGCCTCAAATAGAACAACGAACAAAATAATGTTAAAACTTTTTTATTTTTCAATGTAGTCTCCTTTGTTAGCAATGCACTTATTCCAGCGATGTTCTAGCTTTTTTATGCCATCACAATAGGTCGATTTGTCAAGGTGTGCAAAATACTCGTTCACTTCAGAGATGACTTCGTCATTTGAGTGGAATCTCTTTCCAGCCATAAATTTTTTTATGTTTGGAAAAAGGTGGAAGTTACTGGGGGCCAAATTAGGTGAGTACGGTGTATGTGGAACTAATTGGAAGCAAAGTTCGTTTATCTTTTGCTCAGTGATTCTGGCGGAATGTGCAGGTGCATTATCGTGGTGGAACAGAACCTTTTTCTTCTTCAAGTGTGGCCTCTTTTCTTCGATTTCTTTCTTCAGTTTTTCCAAAAGTTCACAGTAATAGACACCATTAATGGTCTTTCCTCTTTCTAGGTAGTCAATAAAGATGATGCCTTTAGCATCCCAAAAAACCAAGGCCATCACTTTCTTCGCTGATGGAACTGTCTTTGCCTTCTTTGGTGGTGGCGAACTGTGATGTTTGTCCATTGCTTCGACTGTTCTTTTGTTTCAGGAGTGTAGTAATGGATCCACGTTTCGTCAGTAGTCACAAACCGACGCAAGAAATCCTGTGGGTTTTTCTGGTAGAAGTCCAAACACTCCTTTGACATCAAAGTGCGAACACGTTTTTGCTCAGCGGTCAGCAGACGCGGCACCCACCTTGCTGAGACCTTCATCATATTCAAATTTTCGGTTAGGATGTGGTGCACTCGGTCGACAGAGATGCCTGTTGTCTCAGCTATCTCACGCGTTTTCAAACGGCGATCTGCTAATACCAAATCGTGAACTTTCTCGGTATTTTCTTCAGTGACAGCAGTTGATGGCCGTTTGCTGAGAGGGTCATCTTCCACACTTTCTCTGCCAGATTTAAAAAGGGCTGTCCATTTTTTCACAGTGGTGTACGAAGGAGTATACTCTCCTAAAACTTCATCCATGCCAGCTTTGATTTGAGATGGGGTCAACCCTTTTTTCGTCGGGTATTTTATGACCGCACGAGTCTCTGTCTTCTCCATTTTTGACAAAGCATGTGCACACTGACTATCTGCTAAGCTGTCGTGGCAAAACTTTATGACAAATTAAGCTGAAATTGGTATCGTATCTCTAGCAAAGATGGCTGAATTATTCCCGCCAAAAATTAAATTGATCGCAGCGCCGCATCTAGGAAGGCCGCGAATTTTCCGAAAGCCCTCGTAAGTCCAAGAACGACATAATAGACAACACACATTTAAGCGTAAGATTATAATAAATTATCGAAGAAACAGACCAATAGAAAAATTTCGTAGGCTATAAACGATATTTTGCTAATAGTTAGTTACTATGTAATTTCTATCGTTTTAATAAAAAAAAAAAAAAAAACTGAAAATTAAGTCTAAAATACAAATAATTAGGTTTTTATACAACTACTCTTCTTAAACGATAATTTGATTTATTTTAAACGCATAAATACTGATTGTACAACAATATAACTGAAGCAATACGGCTAAAAACGTTATAGACTATACTAGGTCTTAAATTGAATCTTCTCTATCCGAACATCTTTATTTCCAACATCTCAGTTCGAATCTGTTTTTTAAAAAACCTACGCCATATATAAACAATGTATTACAATTTAATCCGGTCAAAATGTAGATCATTCTTCGGATTAATCTAAACCAAAAAATGACGACATAAACTTTTATGTATTGTGAAGTAGTCAAACCTTTCCCTAGTATTAAAAAACGACGTCCGGTCCATTTGAAGCTTTAAAATCGCCCTCGTGCATTTTTCGCGGCAGAGTCTTTTCCATTTTCAGTTTTTTTTTTTGTTTTTGTATATTTTGGAGCTGACTTTCGCTTTCGAAGAACATTTTGCTTGTCTTGTATGCTTTTAACATACCGCCTCTCTTTCCAGTGGCTCTCTTTTGTATGTCATTTTAATTCTCTTTCGTCTAATTCCTAGACATCTAGCAACGGTCTTATCACTTTCCAGCTTTTCTACGTTGCGGTAAACTCCTTGCCATCCCCATATCCACAAAATGCTTAACTGTGAAGCTTCTCCCTTTTCCTCGTGTTTGTGAAATTCGCCAATTACAATTCTTCTTCGCTCTTCATTAATTAATCTGCTCAATTTTGTTACGTTTGGAGTATTGTTGCCACATTAACACGAATTTAAATCTACGGAGTCCTATCAACAATCTACTGTACTGTAAGTTAGCAGGTTCTGAAATTTATAAAAAAAAAAAAAAAAAAACAAATATGCGCACCAAAGTTGTGCAGAGACTTAGTTTACAAATCTACATCGCATTGAAATATATTAAACTACATGAAAATTTAATTTAGGAAAAAGCAATTAACACAAATACAAACAACAAACACTATAATAAATTTCAAACAGGAATTAGAGTGTTTGACAATAAACAATTCAATAAAAAATTTACTGTTTAAATTTCTTTAGTTTTTCAATTAAAAATTTAGTTTTCTAAACTTTATTTATTTTACATCAATATATTATAAAATTTGCACTAAAATAAATATCAAATAAAATAAGTTCTCATAAGAAACAATAAAAGAAAATCAAAACACAGTATAATGATATTTACTTGAAAAGAGTAAACAATAGAATGACACATTCCGGATATGTCATATCCCTAACAAAGCCTGTTGGGTGGAAGGTGAATAGTTTAGATGAAAATAACCTTATCTCCTGCGGAAACTGATAAATGTATCTCCAGTTTTAATTCTCATCAACTGTTTAGTTAAGAAGAAAATGTAATATTTAGTTTTATTTCATTTTAAATGAAAAATTGAAGAATTATTGTCGAAAATATTAATCAAAAGTATACAATCAATATAAAGATATTTTAAAAATTCATTAATTTTTTTCTATTATTTTACATTTTGGTTGTTATACAAAATTTTATACGATTGAATAGATGAAAAGAATTACTAAAATATAATTTTTAGTCAATATTATTACATAATTACATATTCTAGTAAAAACTACAAACTTTTTTAAATTTGACATTGTCTAGAGAGATGTTTCTCTATTATAAATGTGCACATATTTAAATAAAATAAGTAAAAAAGGTTCTGTATAAATTTTCTGCGTGTTAATTTTTTTGTTAATGAATTAATTAAAACTCTTTCTGTTTTAAAAGGTTAGTGAAATTAAGTTAATATATCCACAATTCAAAGTTTATCCTACGAATACTGTTTATTAGCTAGCATTTAAAATATTTGCAGAATGAATACAAATTATTTTTTTATCAACTTAATGTCTTCGGAAGAGCAATAAAATTATGTTTAATACTTGAAGTTTTAAAATGATCAATAATAACGAGCAGAAACTTTTATATTAATGTATCATTTATTTATTCAGCTTAAACTATATTTTTAATAGCTATATTAAGAAGCAATGCTTTTAAGTACTTATAAATTATAAAATATACTGTATTAAGCTAAATATAAGTATTTTATATTTATTTAAAATATTTCATAAGAAATATTTAAAAATCTGAAAATTAAAATTGTTAAACGTACTAACTTAAATTAGAATTAAAAATATAAAAATTCAGAATTGATTCGATTAGATTTTAACAAAAAATAAAAATAGTCTGTTTAAAAATTATTATTTTTTTAATTAGTCTTTGATATAATTATATTCATTTAACATAAACATCATATAAAATTCATCTATTCAACAACATAAAAAATATTGCATTTTTCAAATTAAAAAAATTTTTATAGAAATTATCTCCTCATTTATATTTTCAAATGCATTTATTTTTATTACTTAAAAATATTTGTTTTATGTTGATGTTGATATTATTATAATTTACAATATTTTATATTATACAGTTTTTCTTATGAGTTTTTATATACCTTCTAATAAAAACCAAATAACAAAATTCATTGCACCAATATTAATATAATTTGAATACAGCAAGTTATGATAAAAATTTATTATCTCATATCTTCTGAGTTAATCTAATATCTAATTTATTTTTAATTTCTTAAACAGGTTTTATGTAATTATTTTATTTATATTAACATTACAGGCAGTACATCGAATAGCTGTCCTCCCCAAAACAATCGTATCTGCATTAAATCACAAAAAAACATGAATTATAATAATACGAAAATTTAAAGTCTATTTTTTAAATTATATAAGTTATTATTATCACATATTTATCATTTTATAAATTGTGAATCGTGTGGTTATGCCGATTTTTTCGTCTGAATTCTCTACAAAACAAATATTTATCTCAAGTTCGTTTCGCTCGAAATAGGAAACGATCATTATGCATGGCTCATTAGCTAGTAATATTTCCAGACTACCAACAATATTCACCTTTGACTTCGCCACTTCGAGACTGGTAAGAATTTTTACAATGGATTGTACGAGTAATTTTTAAGAAAAAAGGATACAAATATACTAACAAACTTATATAAAATTTTTATATAGTCATTGTAGTGTTTTACAAGAATAAGTATATTTTGGAACGTAATAACTAAGAATAGAAAGGATTCAAAGTTTAAAAGCCAGATAAGTTGTATGATAAAATATTTAAAATCTAATGAATAATATGTTGTATTGTGAACGCAAGTTTGAAACTAATAAATACTTAT